ACATACGTCAAGAGCAAAGCTCAAGCTACTTACGCGGAGCAAAACACTTACGATTACAGGGATTGATGACCGTATCAGTTTCAGTTTCTAACAGTCATGAGAACCGAAAAATCTCCATAGCTCTTATTATATAAATTTAATCTCATCAGTTTTAATTTCCTTCAAAGTTGCTATTATTTCCATTGTACAATCATTTTCCAGTTCTGTACCCGTTATAATATAGAACCAAATCACAAATGATACCAAAAATGACAATTGCAGAACACAAAACCGGAAAACAAATTAAACATTTTCAGAACCGTTTCAATCCCTGCTTACCAAACGCGTTCATTGGAAACGGCCAGTGAATGATTAGGGAACTGATAATCATTACACGATAAACATATGAGAGTTGTTAAAACACCTATGATTACGTACTTATCGGTTTTATTGTTTGAAACTTGTAATGTGCCTCGGCGGATACGTAATGTACACTTACTTTGAGTCGCACGGTATGACGATGTTCGCTAATAGAAGCATTCGTCGATTACACGCTCTGATTTCTCATTGCGATTATCTTAGCGGCCTGGAAAGCACCGCGGTCGAATTTTCAAGTCGAACATCTCCGATCGGAACTTGCATCGTTGCGAAACTAAAATATTAAATATCCTCTATTTCGGTATTCGCTGTCTATCCGCGAACCTACCTCGAACAAACTACCAATCGCGAGGGACCTAATTAAATCGTACAGAGTATTTCAAGAAACCTTTCACACCGATAAATGTATAAAACACCTCGAATATTAAATACATTTTTCAAAATACTTTCAGTTTAAACGACATCGATCGAACGCATTCGTCTCTGAATCACCTTCTTTGCGATTATTCGTTCTTTTTTAAAGAAAAATCCCCGATACATCGAATGTTACGCTGCGAATCGACGCGTTCATAATTTCACTGTACCTCCTTTCCAACCGGTGTGCCGTTTGTTTGAAAAGAAACGCGCGACTCGTTAAACGTGCCATCGAACGTCTAGGAACTTTACGGAATTCGTTCTCGAACAACGGAAACAACTGTCCTCTGTGTAATCGGCTCCGGCCGGCCCGACACGCGAGCGCTGTTTAATTTCTGTAATGGACCTCTTCTCTTTGAGCCCACGACCCGGGGAATCCTCGGATTCAATACAGCATTATTGCCGCGGCGGTCTTCTCCTCTAACGCTGGAATCGCTTCGAGACGTTCAATTTTGTCCCGTCCGGAGCCCCAGCCGACCAATGCTATGCTGATTAAATGCACCACACCGGCGCACACGACCAGCCTGCAACAACAACGGAACTTCACGTGGACGCCACTCGGTTTCAGGTGACCGATATGTCGGCCTTGCTACCGATACAATCTTAACATTTAACACTAGGTCTACGGGCATTTATTGTACAGTTTATTTTATTGTTCCTAGAACAGTTGACATTCGCCTATTAACATACTATCGGAAGGGTATTAATACCTTTTATGCAGAACGTACGCTAAGTGTTAGAAAACTTACCAAAGTTTTTTTTTATTGTCACTAATTTTTGGTCAGTCGTAATTTTTTAATGTGTTTGTGCAGTGCATAAAAAGAAAATAGTTCTCTTCCTGAATGCATGTGAGATTTCTTAATTCAGTCTAAGAAAATGTCATCTGATTAGAAAATATTGAATATTTCCGGTGAAAAACTTCTGGAGTGCAAAGGGTTAAAATGTCCCATTCTTGATGTCTTCTTTTTGCAATTGTTAAAAAGATAACAGATGTTTCTCTGGAAAATGATTGAAGAAATTGATTTAGCGATACGAAAACTGAATTATAAATCAATTAAAATCTCAATAGACGTACTCTTGGAGTTTCTATAGAGAAATTTCGAAAATTCAATTTAATTGCTCGGTAGTTTTAGTGTTAATTGTTGAATCTTAACTAATAATTTCGAAAATGCAATTTAACCGCTCGGTAGTTTTAGTGTTAACCCTTTGCACTCGGGAGGTGCTCTCACCACTTGATTTCCTACAGTGAAGCTATAAAGTTTGATATTTAATATTATACTTCATCAATCTGAGAAATATTGACGTAAAATAGCTTTGTCCGTCAATTCACGTGAGTTTCTCTATCAAGTTAGTTTCACAAAATATCGTCATTCCTATCTAAATTGACCAAAGAAACGAGTAACACACACGGGATCAAAATTAACCCTCTATGGGCCGAATTTAGTTTCGTGATTATAACAAAATTTACGCAGTATGAAATTAATAAATACCAACATATGCACACAAATTAACAATGTATTCAGTAGTTTTAACAATTCCATTGAAACGAATATATTTTGTAACTTCGAAGTTACAATGACGTTGAACGTAAATGCCTATGTGTAGAAAAGTTTAAGTTAATTAATTATTTAACGTCGTTCGTCATTTTGCAATAAAAAATCAAATAAATCAATCTAACCCGGTATATTGATGTGCGACTTCAAAGTCACACGAGCCAATAGAGGGTTAATTGGAAACGAAAGACGACGTGCAAAGGATCACGGATAACGCATTCCCGCGGTTCAAGCGAACAGAGCTCGAGGATTCACGGGTGTAAGTTATTCACGCGTCGCGTGTAGCAAAGAATGTCTCCGAGCATCCAACGGATAGCGTCGTGGATTAAAGCAGCAAAGAAAAATCGCGCGGTTCCCGGTTTAAATAGGAAAAGGGCCAGGCGTGTAAATCAAAGTTGAGTAACGAGGCAAGGAGCATCGTATTCTTCTGTACCATTCAGGCATAAACGACGCTTTTTCTCACGCCGACTATTCCAGCAGACTCGAGAAACATTTATCGTATTGAACTGCTGAGGCTTTAGAATCCGCGAACGATGAAGCACGGAGCCGCGCAGTTTGTCTGAGGCCTCAGTGCCCACGATATTCTCACCGCCGCCGCTGCCGCCGCCGCCGCCATTCAGCGGAGGATAAAAGATCTCTTACCAAAATGAATAACCGAGCTCAGCGGAACCCTCGCTGGTCCACATATTGTCGATGTCCTCCTTCGGAAGCACGTTGAAGTACAGCTTTGTGTAGTACTGCGCCAACCAGGTGCTCGTGCTGGCGAGGCACATTAACACTGAAACGGGTGGACCCAATTAAACCGATACTGAATAACGCGTTCCCGCGCGTATTAACACCGAACCACGGTACCGCCGCCATTGATCCGTTGGTAAACAAGCACGCGGGAGCAACGTGAACCGCTTGAAACATCGATACTTCGAGATCGTTGCCGCTACGTCCAGGGAACGCGTCGGTTTCACGTGTGTTCGATTTTATAATTATCGAGCGTTGATTTTCATCGATGCGATTGATCGGTTGTGTATCTTTGCCTAGTTTTAACCCTTTGACGAGGATTGCTTGAAGTGTTAACTTTGGCAGTTAACCGTATTCGAAAGCTATAATTCATGGTGACTTTTAGATCTATAATCTATGAGATCTAAATGAACGAACCGATGACCTGAGAAGTAGAGTGAACTTTTAAATGTATAATTCTGATAGCTAGTTCTTCGTTCTCGTCAAAAATACGTTGATTATTTTAAATTTTTATTCATGTCCTTCTTCGATCTATCATTATCAGTTAGCCGAATTCGAGAGCTATAATTCATGATGATTTTTAGATCTATAATTTATGAGATCTAAATGAACCGATGGCTTGAGAAAAATAGAGTGAACTTTTAAATGTATAATTCTGATAGCTAGTTCTTCGCTCTCGTCAAAAACACGCTGGCGACGATTCTAAAATTTGATTCACACTCTTCTTTAATCTTGCTTTGCCAGCTGATCGAATTTGAAAGATCTGTATCGGTCAATCTGCGAGCAAAATGGCGGGATGGATTTTCTAAGTCCTTCACGCCTCGGAATCCGTGAGTTATGGACGCCGCTTCTACGATTCGAGAGCCGGATACTTCGGAGTTCTATCGAACGGTTCAGGAACGCTCAAGGGAAGGTTTCACGGACGATTCGGGCCACTCACGCGTTAAGATATTGATGAAGTACACCCCGGGATCGGAGAGGATTTTAGACCTCGGCGAAGTGGCCGTGTTCAGAACGGCGAGAAGCGCAGCTAGTCCGGCGGTGACCAGGGCCGCCGAAGTTGTCGTCAGGGTGCTGATCCACAGACCCCAGGACATCACTGTTGGATCTTGTCGGATCATCTGGTGCACTGGAACAAGTGGAAATAACGGAGAAATTATTAACGATCCTTATACAGAGACGATTACAAACTCTGAGACACCGTGTACTCGAAACAAAAGCGTACACGTAATTTGTTCATTGTTCACTCAGTTTTATAGAAACGCGTTGTGCGTATAACTCATTCGTTATTTAACCCCTTGACCTACAATAGACTCGCGACGAAAATTTTCAACTGAATTCGAGAAATCTGTGTTTATTTGTTTTAAAAATAAATGGAACACCAATTTTCTATTATTAATCGTTCACCACTGGAGTAAACGTCTTAAGATTCTTTTTCCTAATAGATCATTAACTATAAATGTATCGATCATTATTTAACCCCTTGACCTACAATAGATTTAAGATTCTTTTTCTTAATAGATCGTTAACTGTAAATGCATCGATCACATTTGGGAAATAAATCGAGCAAGGGTTAATCATTTAGATCGCCCTATGATTAATTCAATAATAATTCAATTAACGATTTCATTGCTCTATTTATTAAAGATTTAACACGTTCACGGCGTACCACCGGTGGCTCACAGTAAGATACCACATTAGAGTGTTGGCTCATTAGACGGTGTGTAGCATGAAATATATGGCTCGTCAAGTGGTAATTAGAAAACATTGCCATATAGCTGAGAATTAATTTACTTATCGATCATTTCAATATTTCTATCAATTTTGAGAATTCAGTCAAATGAGAAAGAGTGGAAATTACAGCGCAAGAAGGGGAGAAAGGCTAATAAAAAAGAACATCCTGATTCTCAGTTTCACCATTTAGGAAACATTCGTAAAGATCTTCATGATCGTCGATATTCTCGATTTATTTCTCCTATGCAATCAATTGAAACGCGACAGACCAGCGAACGATACCGAGACACGAGCGAGCCGGAGGATATTCGAATGTACCGTTTCGAACGGGGCCACCCTGTATGCCACGGCAGCATCGAAAGGATTGAAACTACCGGCGCGAGACCGCTTCTGTTTTCCCCGGGACCGTGTTTAAAATTCTACGAGCCACGGTTGTAACAGAATGCAACATTTTTGTCGCGCTCAAAGGACACTTCGTCCCCGGT